AAGGTCACACCAACAGCTGCATGGGGAGGCGCGGGGAATCAAACCCGGTTCTCCGAGATTAGAGTCTGCACTCCTAACCACTACACCAAACACGCAGATTGGCACTGCAGTCTTAAGCGTGTATTTTACTAGAATGAAAACGTAGCTTTTTGGTGTAGTGGGTAAGTGCGCGGACTCTAATCTGAGAGAACCGGGTTTGTTTCCTCGCTCCTCCACTCGCAGCTGCTGGATGACCTTGGGCAAGTCATAGTTCTGGCACAGCTGTCCTTGAAAAAGAGCAGTTTCTGTCAGAGCTCTCTCAGCCCCACCTACCTCACAGGGTGTCTGTCGTGGGGAGGGGAAGGGAACGGAGTTTGTAAGCCGCTCTGAGACTCCCTTCGGTAGTGAAGGGCGGGGTATATACATCCAATCTCTTTTCTTTTTTTCTTGCTGTGGTGAAGCTCACCAGACAACTTTGGAGCAGTCACTCGCAGTCAGCCTAACCTACTTCACAGGGTTGCGAGGATAAAACAGGGAAGAGGGAACCACGTATGCCACGCCGAGTTCCTTTGTGGGGTCCCCGACCTTTTCTAGCCTGTGGGCACTTTTCGAATTCCGAGACAGGGCAGTGGGGGCAACAAGGAAATGGCTGCTGCCGCAGGCGGACCCGACCCTAAATCGTCAGGAAGCGAGGCCTACGGTCGAGGACAGCAACGGTTGAACATCGAGCCTAGCCTCCTTCGTCTCTCCACCCCTCCAAGGGCGAGAACATATAGAGTTTAAACACCATCTGGAATAGCTGATTATATTCTTCACCCAAAGAGTGATGAACACATGGAATTCACTGCCACAGGAGGTGGTGGCGGCTACAAGCATGGACGGCTTCAAGAGGGAATTAGATAAGCATATGGTTCCATGAGGTGCTCTTAGCCACAAGGTAGAGGTAGGAACTCTCAGTCTGGGGCAAGAGATGCTCTGTATTCTTGGTGCTTGGGGGGGGGCACAGTGGGAGGGCTTCTAGTGTCCTGGCCCCACTGCTGGACCCCCTGATGGCACCTGGCATTTCTGGCCACTGTGTGACAGAGTGTTGGACTGGATGGGCCACCGGCCTGATCCAACATTGGCTTCTCTTATGTTCTTATGTCTGGGGCAAGTGATGCTCTGTATTCT